TTTCTGGTTTGGAGGCATCACTTAATGGAGGTACTGCTTATGGAGTAGGAGGACACAAAAGGAAAGATCACAAGTAAAGCATGAATGAGGATAAGATGATCTCTGTTGTGGGCACGGTATATACATTGTGCCTATAGGACATTCAAGAGATAAAACATGGAGAGAAGGTGAAGATTTGGATATTCAGTTCTGAAGCTGGGCTAAAAATAGAGAATTATGAGTCACAAGCATATTGATAGGAATTTAATCCCTGGGATTGGGTGGGGTTGCCCAGTGAGGACTGTAAAGCAGGAAAAGAACAGAATTTAGAGCATAACCATCATGGCTGTTTAAGAGAGGGGCAAAGCAAGCTGAGAAAGCTGGGCCCATGTTGCAGGAGGAAATGCAAGCTGTAACACTTATCATATCAACTGAGACTTCATAAATTATATCTCCGCGAACAGTGGTTTTGCAAACACTAACGTGTATCAGAAGTTACCTGGGTTGTTTGCTAAAAACTCGCTTTCCTGGGCATACCCCCCCGGGAACCGTGTACAGGAGGTGCAGAGTGGTAGCCACTTCTACATTTTCAGCAGGCATCTGAGACAATTTTACGATAGGGAATTCTTGAAATATGTTTTGAGAAACACTTTCGAGGAGACAGTGTGAAATGGTTGAAAAAGCAAGGTTTTGGAATCAGACTTAAGTTACAGTCCTGGATTTTACTGCTTTGGTTGTGTGGCTGAGAACAAGTTGGTTATTTTAAGGTTTTTTTTCCCCCCTTCATCAGTGCTGGGGATATAATAAACACCTTCTCTGTCTTGGAATTATTTCAAGATATATAGGAGATAAGCTATATTAAATTTCTGGCATATAGGAGGAGCTCAAAAATATGTCTTTTTGGCCCTTAACCACACACCGCCACTCCCCCCTGCCCCAACCAGAACACAGCTGTAAACCTAAAAGTCAGTGAAGAAGTAGGAGGAAATAGCTATGGTTAACATCATGCATTTCGTATTGTAAGAGATCAAAGCCAACTGCTTTTTTACTTTGAACCTACTGTTTTAGAATTGTTACCAATTTTAAGTAACAATTAAATTGTTACCAATTTAATAGATTTTGTTACCTAGTTTCTCCTGGCAGTCTTCAGTTCTGTAGACATTAAATTTGAACAGCATAATATAGGTGAGGTTAAAGTGTGAAACAGAAGCTGAGAGAAATTTAATAGCAGGAGAGACACCTCAAAAATCCTAGGGGCATGAACATATTGTAACATACTATACAAACTAATACTCAAATTAGTATTACTAGATCATCAAGAAAATGTTAAATTATGTTTAACAGAATTGTCATATATTTCAAGATGATTTCCATTACAAAATCCAACAGTTTATGAAGTTTTGGCACTTTTAAGTGCTAAACTAAAATTTCTGCTAGTTGGGAAGTTTACTTAGGTAAAATATCTGATTAGTCTATTACAGTTATGTATAAATGAACTTCTACGCCCTTGCTTCCTATTTGATTGGCATATAACTATTTTTAAGTTAACAAGTATCTTTGAAACTGTCCCAGAAAGTACTGTGGAACTAGCCTATATGTAAATTGCTGTGGTGCCATATGATGGTAAGGTTTTCTTTTTTTTCTCTGTCTTGAAGAGATGCTAATGTAAATGGAGAAGAGTGGAGTCTTAGCATAGCCTTGTCTGCCCACTTTGTGTCTTGAACTTCCTAACTCATGTTGACTGATTGGAAATATGGCCAGTTTATTGTTAAGGATTTGAAAAAGCTGAGAAAGAGTTAAGAATCTTTCTTCATTTTCTGTTATCATGCTCCTACCCCCCCCCACTTGGATATTTATATGATTAAGTGAAGTGAAGTCGTTCAGTCATGTCTGATTCTTTGCGACCCCATGGATTGCAGCCTACCATGCTCTTCAGTCCATGGGGTTTTATTTATTTGATTTATATAATTATTTATCCTCAAATACTCAATAATCAGCTGACTAAGTCTAGGTATTAGTTTCTTATTATTTTTACTTGTTTAAGCAATACTTTTTGTTCTGTAGACTTAAGTCTTTCTTTGATGGAGTGTAATTTTCTTCTGTTATATCTTTGATTATTGGCACTGTTTTATATGCTACCCTTCTTCTGGAACACCCATTACTCTTATGTTGTATTTTTGTCAGTCTTCCGTGTTCATCATATTCCCTTTGTTCATATTTCCCCTTATTCTTTTTTCCCCCTACCTACTGAAGAAGTTTTTAAAACATATACCTGATCTTATTTTTCAACAGTGTTCACAATTTTCAAATTTTTTCACCTTAATACATTATGAATTTGGCTGCTGCATTTTCTATTCCCTTACACAGCATTTTCCCCCTATTTTACCAGCTCCATTCCAATTTCCATGTCTCAATCATTCCTCTTTTATCTTATATTACATTATTTCATTTTATTCAGAATCTTTTTTAACTTTATAAAAGATGCAAAGCAATTGTCTAAAGTTTGCTACTGTTTCTCATTTGTGCTTGCTTTCTCCATCTTCAGTGCTGTGTTATGGTTTTGTATTATGTAACATTTTTATAACACCTGTCTTCATTTGTTGATTTTTCCTCTTTTATTTATCCTTGGCCAAGGATATACTATAATAGATATTCTAGTCTCTATAATACGGGATGCTTGCCTCTCAATTGGGTTAGTGACTTTTCTCTGGCTCATCTGATTAGAGGCTGCTCATGTCCTCCTCTTATACTCTAACAGAACATCTGATACATGGCCCATAGCATATTTTTGGGTGGGGGTTGTCTAAAAACAATCTAGCACAAGAAGGTATCTTGCTCATCACAGCTCTTCTAAACTCAGTCCAGACTTAAACTCCCACTCCATGTGCTTTAACTCCCACTCCATGTGCTTTTCCATCCCCACTCATGTAATATTGCTAAGAATTTTAGACCCAGGTTGGAGTGGGAAGCCTGGACTTTCGATCAGATGGACTAGGTGAGTAGAGTGATTGAGACTGTGCGGTCCTGGAGCCTCTTTCCTCCAACTGGTCCTTGAAAAATCCTTTGTTCCCCACCCCCCCACCCCCACCCCCTGGGAAGTTTAAGGAAATCTCTCAGAACTGTCTTCTAAGTCTTTGATATTTTGCTTCCAGCAACTTCCGTTTTTTAATAGCGAAAAGTAAATCCTTTTTCATTGCGGCGGATCATTGACTAATATTCCAGGAGCACTTATATTTGTATCCAGCATGTGGGAAAGTGTTGGGCGTGTGTGTTTCAGTGGGAAGGAGGGAAGGTCTGGTACAGTGTTGCTAGCTTTTGTCTCACATGCTTGTAATGCTCCCTTGATTGTTTTAAGTGCTCAGTATACATTTGTTGAATGAGTGAATAAATGATTTATTTTTCTTTGAGAATTTCAGAAGAACCAACAGTACTTAACCAATAATTATTATTTTAATACCCTTTCCCCAATAGTATTTTTCTAGTTAGGCATTTTGCAAATTATGTTCTGGAAGTACCGGTTCCATAAAATACTCTGTGAAAAAAGGGGTCCATTGATAATTTTGGGAAATGCTGCATACTAAACTTTTCTCATAGAAATTTGAACAATATATAAGTATATTAAGGGCCTCAAGAAGGCCTGGACTAACAAAACCTGTATAACTTTGTTTAATTCAGCATGTCCCAAATTTATTGGGTCATAGAAAACTGTTAATATCAAATAAAACATGCTTTGGGAAATGCTTTACTCTGATTTTTATAGTTTTCACCTCATAGAGTTTAATGCAGACTTTTTCTACAAAGCAAACTTCAAATTTTTGAATTTGAATTGCTTTTCAATTATCTAAAGGGATGTAAATTATGACAAATATGATTAGAATCTCCAGATTTAAGTCAGGAGTTACTGATTTAGATATCTTTTTTTCCTTTGATGTTTTGAACAAAATATGATCTCAGTGACCTTTTGAAAATGCTTCTTCAGGCATTATATTAGTATACTTAAGAAAAGGAGATACATATTTTACTGGTGCCGTAAGCTGAGAGAGCCCTGTACCGTATGATATGAGAGTATTTCTGTATTTCCTCTGAGCTCAGTGAAAGTGACAGTTGTCCTTATTCAGGATTTTAATATTGTACGTTACCCTAGAAAGTAATCCTATAGCAGTGCCTCTTTTCTCTCAATATCATATAACTGGATAAAGTGGGAAAGGTGACTAATTTTATTTTCAGTTTCAGTATTAAATCCTTTGTTGTATTCCTACTTTATTTGTCTTTATAGTAATATCTGGCTAAAACTGAAGTCATTTTTTCTTTTGACTTTTCATCATATGGGATTCAAATATGCTTTACTAGTTTAACTGTTCACTGACTGGTTATGAAACCTGCTTTTGTTTTGGTAAGAAATGCTTCTGTACTCGCTTCATCCCTCCTCTCCATTCAAATATTTGTTTCCCTCACATCTTTTTATAATTAGTAGTTTTGTTTTGCTTTGCTTTTTAAAATTAGAATTTGATTTGTTCCAAGTTAGGGTTTTTTTCTAAAACAGAAAAGGTATGTTTTAGAAGCTTTGGGGGGTGGGGGGAATTGGAGGGTGGTGATCAAAAGAGTTTATAGTAAATAAAAGCCCAGCAAGTTTTCAGCTAGACAAGTTTTCCCACTGGTGTACTAAATCTGAAAGAGCCATGGATTTGTAGTGGGCTTGTCTAGTAAGTTCTGAGTTCCAATCTTGGCTTTTCCCTACATGAAATTTTCATATTTGCTTGCTTCCTTTTGAATAAGACCACTGTCTACAGACATCTTCTTCTGGTTCCCTAAGATGTCCTTTTTAAACTCAACCATTCCAAATACCTCTAAAATTAAAAGTGATAGCTAGAAATGTTACTTAAGCATTATACTATGAAAGCAGTGTGACCACAAATATTCTTTCCAAGAATTTATCAAAAAATCTAAATAAAAGTTAATCAACTAGACATTTATATTCACTATAGTAAATGAAATTCTAACTTTTGTTTCATCTTAAACAGACAAACAGCAGAAAGGTGAATTTGCAATAGACGGCTACAATGTCAGGATGAATAACACTCTTAGGAAGGATGGAAAGAAAGATTGCTGTTTTGAAATCTCTGCTCCTGATAAACGTATCTATCAGGTTGGAGTTTTTATGTTGCCTTGAAATTAAGTTGATAAGACTTCCTGATTTCGTTTTTGAGGACATTAACATTTTGTTAAAACAACTCTTCCTGACATGTTAATAATAATAATAGAACACTGGGTTTTAAACATTAAAGATTCATATAAGAGGAAATAGATTTTTTTAAAAAAAATTCAGATTAGTTCAAGTGATATCTTGAAAGAGAACAGGAGGATATGTAATTTATCAATTACTTCACATGTTGCATTTTATACCTATTTTAATAGAACCGAGAGATTTTTTAAAAGAATTACATGGCAGAAAGAGTGAAATTATCAAAAGAAAAATATCAGAGTGTTAATACATATTGTATTGCTTAGAGTTGTGGGAGAAAATGAAGGTAAAGACACGTATCAGCTCTGCAAGTCAAGAGCTATCAGCTAGCATCAATATGGAATGTGTGTTTAATAAGTTTTAAATATCTGAGATTGCAGTTGAAAGCCAGTTAATTAAGTTGTCAGTTAGTGTGTTGGAATCTGACAAGAACATTTTTAAGAAAGCTGTACCCAGCAGTCTAAAGAAATTCATGGGTGTCTTCTAATTGTCAAGGGCAAATTTTGTTCATCAGTTCTGTCTTTGACATTGATGAAGAGAAGCAGCTTTTTTTCTTGCACAGCTGCCAGCTGCTGATCAGAGTTTCAAATCCATCATCCTCTGCTTCAATTACATAAATTTGTCAAAATTAACTGTACATTATAAGAAGCATCCTTGCAAGAAAAGTAGTACTAGACATGAAAAGAATTACTAATGGTCTTATAGAAATGAAAAGGAGGCAACATACTTTTCATTACTATGGTGATTGTTTTTATTGCTATTGCTTGTTTTTCCTTAGTTCACAGCAGCTTCTCCCAAAGATGCCGAAGAATGGGTGCAGCAGCTGAAATTTGTGTTACAAGGTAAGAGCAACCCATTGAACAAGGTATCACAGTCTTTGAGTACTGAATAACTGATTAAGTTGGAGTTTCATATACAGAAGTTTATTGACTTCTGTGAGAAATGACTGGCAGGACATGACTGGTAATACATACCATTCACTTCAGATTAATAAAAGCATCTTTTCTGCAAGTACCATTTAGTAACTTTTAAATTCACATATTTATACATCAATCAATTTCTAAAATGTTCAAGTTAAGGATGTAACATATAACAATATTGTGACTCTGTAGGGCTGCATTAATTTAGGTAATAAGGTTTGGAAAATCACTTTTGCATTCTTTAAAGTTTTGTTTCCTGAAACATGTTTTGTAGATATGGGGTCTGATGTTATTCCTGAGGATGATGAGGAGAGAGGAGAGCTGTACGATGATGTCGATCATCCTCTCCCAGGCAGTTCGCCAACAAGGAGCCTGCCAAATGATGATGAAATTTATGAAGAACTTCCAGGTATTTATTTATGGTGATTCATTTAAGGATTTTAGGGATTTTAAAAAATGCCATGTATCATCAAGTTGACAACTTGAGAAGAAAGTGGTGAACTATTAATATTAAAAATGAGAACAAAGAAAATCTTCAAAACTCTATATTACAAAAGGTTCTGCTTGAAGTGTTTCAAGTGAGTGGATGTACATTTATGAAAAGTGAATGGAATGTTAAAATGAAGCAGATACAGTCCTAATCTCATGGGACTTTTGGCTCATTAGCATTGTTTATGCTACATAATTTTTTAATTAAAAAATTGACTTGCCTTACAGTTTTTTCCAGCAACTCACACATCATTTTTTATTTATACATCTTGGAACTTCCATTAACCAGAAGTTCTATGCATACCCCATATGTCAACAACTTCTGCCTCATGTATTCCTCCTTGCTATAGTGTATTGCATTGTCTTGGAGGAATATTGTTGAACTGTAAACAAAGGCCTTTTGAGGCTTGAAGTTTTCTTACTTGATATTTTATCATTCTACATTTTCAGGCATGATTTAGTGTTTATATGCCTCAGTATCTATTGTGTAATATAAGTTTAATTGTCTTAATTTGACTTGCAGTTCTGACAGCCTCAAACAGAAAGATAGGCATATGGAACTTTAGATACTTAGAATATGAAAACACTTAGGGAATTATTGCATTACTAATAATCTAGGTTGAAATCAGCCTTTTTCTGGTTATTTAAAAAATCAGCCATTGGAGAATAAAAAGAGATTATAAGCAATATAAGTGATATTTAATTGACATCACATATAGAAAAGCTATTTTTCTTTAACTCAAACAATTTAACAACAGTATAAACTTTAAAAATACCTAAAATGTTCAAAATTAACATACAAATGTGATTTTCAATAACTAGCACATAGACTTTACAGTCAAAAGTTTAAGTTCTGCCTATACCATTTTCTGGCTCAGTGACCTTAAAAGTCAACTTCTTCATCTATAAAATAAGGATAATTTCATGAGGGGGATGGTGGTAAAAGAGATCATGTATCTAAAAGCTCTCAGCACAGTGCTTGAGTCATAGCATGCCCATAATATATTGTAACATGATCATTATTGTTTTCATTATTATATCTGGTAAATTCTACAAATGCTTATATGGAGTTACAATAATGGTTTTCTGACCAAGTAAGAATTAATGATTGTAATGGGATTATAAATCCAAGATACTACAAAAATTACCAAAATATGCATCTGTGTATTGTCTTTTACTACCTTAGAGGAAGATGATTAGTATAAAAGTATGATTTTGTGGGCAGTGATAACTTGTACATTTCTATTATTTTAATAGAACTACATGGTTATAGCTCCTTCCTTTCTGATTTATCCCAAGGAAATGGCATCTGCCATAGCATCAGCTATCCTCAAGTAGGAGAGAATATTTATTCTCTGACTACTTTTTTAGTCACACCATATCACTAATACTGTCATATTAGTCTTTAAAAGGTTCAGAAAAGCTAGTGAGAATGTGTACTGACATAAAATGGAAGACTTGTACCTTTAAACATGATACTATTGTCATATATACTTCATTCTTTAAAACCCTGCAGTGAGTGGGTCTCATTACAAATGCCGCAATGACTGTCAGTTAAGTTCTGGGTTTCCTCAAGTTCATCATCCTCTCCCCACACCTCAAATAAAAATTGGTCAGGAATAAAGACACACATTTATAGCATTTTCGTGCTAAAGATCCCAGGAAGATCACCTGTAAGTAGCTTGAAATCCTAAAAATATGAAACATCTTTTATTTTCCCTCACTGCAGATGGTCTTCATCACATTTTTTTTGTTGGGCTGGGGCCACACAATCGTTGGAAATAACAGGTTACTTTTGAAGTAGTCTTACTTCTTGCCGTGGTACTAGAAGAAGTCTAAGCTGCTCTAGGGTTCCTCGCCCCTGCCTGGTGGCTGTGCGAAGTGATTGAGTGTGATAGAGACTGCAGCTGTACCCCTGGGAAGAAGCTGGGCAGGCAGCTGTGGAATGTCTAGTTCTTTCTTCCCTAGTGAACTGAGCGCCACTGCGGTGTCCCCAGTTCAAGTCAGTCAGGCTTGAGCCAGCTGCTACAGAGGGAATTCTTCTTTTTTTTTTTTAGTGAAAACCCTAAAGTTGGCTCCTAGAGTTTTCGTTGGATTAAATATCTAAAACTAGGAAGGTAACTTTTTTTTTCTTTCAAAAATGCTGTCTCTTTCAGGAGAAGAGTTAAGCTAATTGCTTTCACTTCTGTGAATTATGAATATAATTTTGAGAGGTTTAAAACAGTGGAAAAGCAGTGAGCATAACTTACAAACTGTTAGTGTTTTTCCAGCTCTGTACTAAGAGCTGTATATATCTGAAATCTGACTGGTAAATTCCCAGAATTAATTAATATCACCATTTCAACGGGCTTCCCTGATAGCTCAGCTGGTAAATAATCTGCCCGCAATGCGGGAGACCTGGGTTCAATCTCTGGGTTGGGAAGATCCCCTGGAGAGGGGAAAGGCAACCCACTCCAGCATTCTGGCCTGGAGAATTCCATGGACTATATATAGTCCATGGGGTCTCAAAGAGTTGGACACAACTGAGCGACTTTCACTTTCTTTTCACCATTTCAACACGATTTTCTGTCAATTACATATAGTTGAAAATTAATCCTCTTAGTTGAAAGATGAAGCATAAAATATGTTTGGAGAAAAAGCTAAGCATTCAACATGTTGCTTTAAAGCACAGGGTCCTTTGAAAAAGTAAAACTCTTGCTCAAATGTCTTTTTAAAATGTGAAATAAACCTGCAGTGTTTAAGTCTCAAGAATCATAATAAGAAACATGTTTAAAAATTGTATTGCAAAATAGCCCTTGAAAAATGTTTATAATTTTATGGGAATGTAAATAGTTTCATTGTAATTGTTTTTCAGTTAGAATATTCTAACTTTATTACAGCAGCTTTTAATTTCTTGTTCATTAAATTTTAACTAACTTCACAAAAGAATAAGAATAAATTTGTAAGTTGCATTTAGGGTATTTATACATATGTAGACAAGAGTTGAGACAATGCCATTTCTGGGGAATATTAAAGATATTTGGCTTTTCTTTAAATATCCTAATGCTTTGACATTGTTTATGTCCTAGTACGTATTAGCATAGGCCAATCATGTTAACTATGTGATGATATTATGATAGCATCTTTGTATTTGCAAAGTTTATTTGATCAAAGTGTGTTAAACTGTTTCATAACACAGTAATAAGTTCATTTGGCTTAGCACAAATTCCAGAAGTTATTGTTCATTTTTTCATTAGAAATATAGAATGTTTTTGTTTTAATTTGAATCTCGAAAGGGGAAAACAATACTTGGGAAACTCCTGCAGAAATCAGTCCAGCTTGCTCTTCTCTTCTAGTTACCATGTCATCGGATTTTTTTTTCTGTAAACATCAAGACATTCTGCAAAAACAGCACAACAAAAAGACTTTTTAAGATGTAGACTAAATAGAATCACTTAGTAACAAGAATGATAACGGCTGTTAGCCTATTAAATCTGTAGATTTCAGGAGAATTGCATTTGAAATTCTTCTGGCAAGTGAACTGGAGGAGAGAGGGTAGCATAAAATAGTAAGATAAATTTCTAATCCCATTAACATTTTTTTTAAAAAAACTTCATTCATTTTTTAGTATTGTAATGATAGATTGAACTATTCCAAGCCAGAAAAGGGTGTTTTTATTCTTTAGTCATTCAATTACATTTTAAATTTATCCAATCCAACTATTTGCATCTAAAATGGAATATAAAGTGAAATGCAGCTATAAATTTTTCCCCATGAAGTTAATGTATATACATAAAAAAGAAGTGTTTGAGTATTTAAATTTGAAGGAATCACCAGCAAATGAAATGAGAGGCAACTTAATCAATTAATTACAACATATCCCCCCCCAAATACATTTTAGCTTTCTTTCCTTGCTGAGTAATTATTACTCATATTACCAAGTTAATAAGGTTATAGAGGACCTTAGAGTCTCTGGTATTAACATCATTCCTGATTTCACCAAATAATTTTTTCTTATTCCTTTGGAATGCAATGGAAAGATGCCAGTTGACTTTCAAAGAATCACATATATTCAGCATTTTAATATCATTAGTCCAGACAGCCTGCTGGCATTCTTTTTCCTTAAACTATGGTACTGAATTACAAAGTATGGTGATATGATGTCCTGTTATATGGTGTGATAGATAACTAAGGTCAAATTTTAGAGTTGTTTAAGCTCTGAACTCTACTGAGAGGATTATCTGAAGTTATAGAATATAAGGAAAACATCCATAAATTAAGGTCACTGCACACATCTAATTGTATTTTTATCTTTGCATAAATGTGACTTTAGGATTCTTCATGTTACCTATTTCATAATACAGCATGAAGCTTTGGGATATAATTTTGTCTGTCATGTTGCTTTTCTACTTTGCCGTTGGCATTGCAAACACATTCTTTTCATTACAAGAGATTCTTTAACACATGTTAAAACCCCAAATACCTGTGTGCGTGCAAAACATATATTTCTAATTGTAGAGAAATAAATTAACCTATTTTTGCAACTTGGCACTTCATCTGTGGTTCTCAACCAGGGGAGACTTTGGCCCCATGGGTGCATTTAATGATTGAATTCCTGGAGGCGGTTTTGGTTGCCACAACTAGGTTGTGTGTGTGTGTGTGTGTGTGTTACAGGCATCTAGTGGGCAGGTGCTAGGGATGCTGCTTAACATCCTACAAAGCACAGGACAGCCATCCTCCACAACAAAGAATTATCTGGCCCCAAATGTCAATAGTGCTGAGGTTGAAAAACTCTGTTACAAGGGTATAATAGATGGCTTTTGGTTTACCACCTTTTTTATCTGTGTCTCAAGAGTTGTAAAAACCCATTACCCATGCTTCACATGCATTTATTTTTATGGACAAAACACAGGTTTTCTCATAAAAGTAAAAAAACTAGGA